TGCAATTCAGAAATCATCACTTTTTATTATGTTTCTGCAATTTTTGGATGGAGTTCTCATTCAGCTGTGGTGGATTAAACATTTCTTAATCCAGATTTGAATCTCAGTGACAGATTATGAAGATTAAATGTTTCATACCATCTATGTGTTGCTAGTTATTATTTGCAGAGAGGCAGTTCTCTGGAAGACTCTTGCACTAAATGTTTTCTTTCAACAGCCAGGATTTTGTAGTGTAGTGGAGAAACACACAGTAGATTATTGCAAACTCCCAAACTGTGTGGGAGACGGGATTCTACAAATGATCATGGACACTGATACTGTTTGCTGCTCCTTAGGCAAGAGAAATCTTCATGTTTATCAGGTCACTAAGAAAAAGAAGTGAAGGATAAGAGAATGAACTTACTTCATTTTACCAAAGAGAGGGTCAAAACACTTAGAGTTGCAAATAAGGGAAATTAATTTCAGAAGAAAGGCCAAAACCAAGAAAAAACCTTTCTAAACATATTTATCGGTTGAGGGTTATGCTAATTATTTCACTATCCCATCTATCCTATGGGGCTGGGCACAGGAATTTACTGCACAGGACAGGACTGGCCTGCTCTGGAGAGATCCTGGTATTACCTACACTTTCCTGTTTTTAAAGCAGGTTACTCAAGCACTCTCCCTTCCATTGGAAAATGAGGAAATATTAAGCAATGAAAATGCTGATTATATTGTCTTTCCTCCTCCATGCTGTAATTTCCAACCCCTTCTTTTCCTGGCCCCGAGAATGATCAAGCACTATAAGATCACATGGCAATGCAGAGGATTAAAGCATTTTTCCACCACCCTGCCCCAACCCAATTAACCTCTTTTAATTAATATTTCTGTTGTGTTGCTTAATTTGCACTTCATATGTTGGCTTCTAGTGGCTGCTTTTTTTTTTTTTTTCCCCCCTTTTGAAGACACACAGGTAAACTTTGTCAGTAACAATCTTTGGAAAACAATACTTTTGTAATCATTTTTAGATTATAATAGTTACTCTGCCATGAATTTAGCATAAAGACATGCATGATATAATCACTGGAGAAATTCACAATAAGGAGCTTAAACTCAGTGGCATGCATCCATACACCCAGTTTATTTAGGGAGATATTACTGGGGGGCCTATCATATAGCTACAAAAGGGGAAAAAAAAAAAAAAAAGGCCCTATAGAATTAAAAAGTTCCTCCTTACTAATATACCAGTGTGAGATTTTTCTAGTTTTAGTCTTTGGGCAAGATTTTCTTACAGGAACGCAATACTATTTTTTTTATGCTGACCACAGAGACAACATACTTGTTGATGCAGGAACCCTAGATCAAATGATAGCTGAGAGACTATTTTAAATTTATGTAGCCTGGATTTTCAGCCTACAGGTCATTCAAGCTCAACATTTCATTAATGAAACGTTGTCAATATTTCCCTGATATTGCCACAAGTTGACATATGGCATTATTCCAGTGTAAGATTTTCACACATTAGTAACTGGGAAATCAAGTATATTCCCCAAGACACCTGAGGTATGATTAATTTTCTAATAGTCTTTCTGTATCAGTTTGAGAAGATGGGAGGTCTTGTACCAGAGAGGAAAGAAAGTGGCAACACTAGAAAAAAAAACAGCCTTGGCTTCTTGCCTGGAGCACTGACTTGGCCAGCTGCCCCACGTGGAAACCTTTACCATCCTACAGCCTGAATAATATGCCAGCAGTAAGGCAGCAGCTTGTAATATACCTTGAGCAGAAATAATGGCGACATTGAAAAAAACTCCATGAAACCCTCTGTGAGAAATAGAAGGTAGTGCTGAGGGTAAAATAAAGGCAAACCTGTTCCATCTATTGGGCTAGGGATGGTGGCCTGTCAACATAGTTGAAGGTTAAAGCAAGTTAGGAAAAAAAAACAGTACTGAAGATTTGATAGAGGTAGCAGATGCTCAGGGATGTTCAATTTTAATACCCCTTTGCTAAGTGAAGTATTAAGGCAAACTTTCATATATATGAAATGAAGAAAGCTGGACAGATTTGGTATCTGAACAGGTCCAGGTCTGCTCACCATCAGGTGAGCACAGAAATCTTAGCAAGGGGGAATGGCTGTCAGTGAGATTGTCATTACTGAGCCACCCAAACCCTCCAGACTAGAATAGCTGTTCTTGTCATAGAGTCACTTCCTATGTGAATACAATAAAACACATTAACTACACACAAACTATCAGACCAAAGGAGCAATTAAACCACTTATAGGAGTCAAGCTCTGAAAAAAAAAAAAAAAAAGAAAAAAAGAAAAAAGAAAAGCTTTATAAACTTGTTTCCCATTTCCCCACATTGTTTTGTATTTTTGAGGCATCTGCAATGAAAGAACGAAACTGCTAAAACAATTTAAATGTAAAATTTGAAAAATCATTTTCTTGATGACTAAACATGTGTCGAGCAGCACCACTGCTGAAATGCAACATTTGTGGTTTAAGCCCTAAAATACCAAGATTCGTAAAGGAAATGTTGACACGACCACTCACCACTGCAGATCTGGCAGTGATGCTACAATAAACATAAGGTAAGCAGTACTAGTCTTGCACACATATTAGACTGTCTAATGTACCAAAGTCCACTATGTCCTTCTAACATGAACTTCATTATCAGAAAGTTGTTTTGGGGTGCTAAGCATGGGAATGATGAAAACGAATGTCAAAGACAGCCCATCCAACACATTAATTTCCAGTTTCAGGGAGACAGGCTGTGCACAATGAGACAGACAGAGAGAGACACAGAGAAATGAGCCCTAGTATTATAAATCTACAACACATATTTAACACATCACATCTCTTACGCTATTTTTTAGTTGTTGTCAAAGTTGTATAGGCAATGTTTTTATAACCCTGTTTATTTATGTCTGAATTTCTCTCACTGTAAATTAGCCTTGCTGCAGAACAGAACTTTGCTCATGACAAGAAGGGCAGCATTGTCCCTTTCTGTAATGTTTTTCCCATTCACTATGGGATCAAGATTGCTGAGCCACTGGCAAAGCTGAAACCAATGACTTTAAATGCAGAATATTGACAAAGAGGCAGAATGGAAACCCAGGTCTATGTAAGTGGAAAATCACACTCTGGAAAGGACTGTCTCTGTAAGATCAGCCATTACAGACCGAAGATTACTCTGGTGAAAATAACAGAAAAGTACTTCTAAGTGCTTTTTGCCAGCAGTGAAGTGAAGTGGCAAGAGGCACACTTTAGGGGAACCAGGCCACATCATGGTATATAATGCTGATACCAAACTCCAGAAGAATCTTTTAAATGAGATGAGTTGGACAAGTTATCCCAGCAGCTCAGCTGCACACCAAGTGTGAGGCCACCCCCGCCCCTCACCATACCTGCTGATGCTTGCACAGAAGAGGCTTGCGAGGCACTCCTGACCCTGCTGGTCACAGCACGATGGGAAACCAGAGCAGTATAAGAAGCTGGCAGAAGGGACAATAGGCATTTAGTCACACATTTGGCATACACCAAGAGCAGAATCATGTTCTGTAGCATTCAGGAAGAAATGATACTTAGGTTCTAAAAGCCAATGCAGCGTTGCTTACGTCTTGAATGAGAGCATTCTGGGTGCATTTAAGTCTACTAGTAAAACAGATACTAAGATAAAATCTTGTAGTGCCTATACAAACACATCTAATACCTCAACACATAATTCCATAGAATTCATATGAATTTTATACATATATTTCTCAAGAAATATTTTTTTTGTGGGAACAATGAGTGGATGTGAAACATTTTGTTCTTTTCAAATGAGCACCCAGTGTAGATGCTGTTCAAGGTTAGAGGCCTAGCTGTCTCATCAAAACAGCATTTTTCATGGTATCTGCTTTACTTTCCAGCAATGTTCTGATATAATAGTATAGCTTTTGTCATAACACTTATTCATCTAGATCCAATTCAGCACATAAACATTGCTGACAATAACAGAGATCAGAGAAAAAGATTGCCCGACCATATTCCTATTTGTCAAAGGAGCTGATCTTTCTTTTTCAAACAAAATTTTGAGGCAGCTCTTAATTTCTCACTTTTACTTTTGATCGCTGTCAGAAATTATGACCAAAAGAGAAACCAAAGCCTCAAAATTCAGATTTGGTCTGAGCGCAGATTTAAAGATTTGAGATACTTCAGGATGCTTATTTCAGGATTTCAGTTTCTATCCTTGTAGAGGTGAACTCATAGCACAGATGAAGGCATAAGGCCAAACTACAAAACCCGTAGGTCCTTTACATTCAGGGTGATTAGGCAGAACTATAGACACAAATCTCTGTAAAACCGCACGTATCCCCACGGCTGGTGTGATAGTGTAAATGAATAATGCTCAGGTCTGATGCTGCTTAGTAACCAAACTGCATCCAGCTTTTCAGATCAACAGAAAAGCTTCAGGAACTGAGCTAGACTGGAAAGAAGAGCATCCAACCAATCTATAAAGTTCCTATTGGTCTTTAAAGCAGAAAACATCAGGAGTAGGTTGTTAGATGAATTTAGCAGCAGGGAAGCCTGCAGCTCATCAGCTTTCTCTTCCTCAAAAGTAGGTACTTACTGCAGTCAAGAGGAATTATTGCTGGGGATCTCTAGTTACAGTGATGTTTTTGTTACAATAAAAAAGTCTGAAGAATGCAATTGCACCCCTGCAATCATCCCTTTTGTTTCTCCACTACAATAATACACTTCTTTATGATGCACAAGGTTTATACTTTGATTGTCAAACTATTATGCATGGAAAGAGACAAACAAAATAACAGTTAGTATTACTTGTAAGGTGGACTAAGCAAACCTGAGCTAGGCACATAGACCGGGTTAATTTCTTTTCTTCTCATTTTTGTTTCATCTCAGTTTCTTCATAGGAACAGTTTTCCTTGTAGAAGGCTTTTAATTTACTTTTGATGACCACAAAGTCTTCATCACAAATTCATATTTTGCTTCAAAAATGACTTGGTGAAATCCTGGTCATGCTGTTAATCAACAGGCCCCTTCTCTTTAGTTTAGATGTACCTCAGCAGTTTCAGAATTTTCACTAGAGTTTTCTCAATAAAGTCCAAATAAAGAAGGAAACCTTAATAAAATCTGAAGACAAAGTTCTCAGAAGTCCTACACTGAATCTGAGCACACCCCTGCTCTTGACCTATGACCCTATGAGAAAATGCTGATGTTTCCTCACAAGCATTTCGAATTTTGGATTAGTCTTGGGAGCAGCAACTCCTAGCCTCTGCTGGGCATCCCTCTCTCATTCCTAGCTCATAAGTGGAGTAGAAAGACAGATTTCCATCAGTGTTCACACACCACCAGCACTGCTAGTGTATACAGTCAGCTTTCACCTTGTTAGTAACTGTCACGGATATTGCACAATCAGTCTTCCGTCCACATCAAGCATGAAATATCCTGCCATCAGCACTGCCGAGCAGCCCTGTAAAGTAACAAATCGACATAAAGATCAGCAATGAAAGGAAACTGGCTGTACCTGGGAAAGCCTATCAGCAAAAGAGAAACAGAAATCTAGCACTCAAAAATGAAAATATTCCTTCATTTTGTTTTCATTATTAGGTATCTGAGAAAGTTAGAGAAGAAAAGCAACTTTTAAGTCAAATTTAAAAACGGTCCTTTCAGGAGGAACAACTGTACAAGAAATAATCAAACTTTACTCCACTATTGACTTTATTCTTGAATGTGCTCGGTCTGTAAAATATTACAGGCCTACAATGGCAGAAGACAGTTAACTGGACTTCCATTTTCTGTTCTGCTACTCCCTGGTTGGAGGACAAAAAAAAATGTTTCCAACCTCTCAAAGATTTTTATTTACAACCTGCAGAACAGATACAATAGAACAGAATCAAACTGTGACATTTAATTAATATATAAAACAATAAGAGATTAGTAGACAATAAGAACAGTATATTTGCAAAGTACACATTTTGTTCCCCACAAAATGCACATCAATATTTGAAGGAAACTCAAGATGTGTTTTTTTTCTGCTTTTGGAATGAACTTATTTCCCTTTTTAAAATGTGGTCCATTTTACACCAGTCTTCAAAGACTGGTTCTCCCTGTCTTCTTGCTGATTAATGCCTGAAAAATACTGTGGTGTTTAAAAAGGTGGCACAAATAGGGTGAAGACTGCCCTGAAAATAATCATTTGAAAGGCATGTTATTCACAGGATACTGATGAATCCCAGTGTTGTTTTCCCTGGGGTAAAAGGGGTTCCTTCTCTTCCCATACAAATAGCATAAAATATGCAAATGAATCTTGCATTCAACAAGTCAAATATGTTGCATGTTTAATTTACAAGTTAACAAAATTCAAACCGTTTTAAAGGCTACAACCGTGTCATAAAATAAAAGACATTGCACATAGCAGAAGCTGTACTGTTGCTCATTGATAAATTATTTTCTGGAATTCGCATTAACAGGCACATTACTGAAGTGCTCTCTAGCCCTCCAGTGGTACAGTTCAAGGTAATATGTGACAGATTTGAACATTCCTCAGGAAGAAAATCTCCAGAGTGCGTAGATCGCAGCTTTGCTCACTGGGAGATTACAGTGGCTTTTATATCTGTTACAAACGTGCAGTTATACTGATAACTTCAAAAGTGGAATATTACATATCATGCTAAAATTCTTCACCAGTCTGTTATGTTTTTTCTTTGTTTCTTGCTTGCTATTTTTTTGTGTCTTTTTTTTTTTTTTCCCATTTAGCTATTGCTGGCTTGCCAGAGATCTTGAACTTGAGAAAGGTTAGACATCACAATGCTGGAGCAGTTTGTGAGCATCAGCAGATTTAGCTTGTAATTTCATTGATCTATGTGGGCTTGCTGTTTGCAAACCAGCTGCTGCACTGTTTCCCCACAGCTACTGATCTGAGTAGCATTGATTTTTTCCCTTACATTAACATAGCATTACTTCTTTAATGGGCAATAAATGACTGGATGTAAATACAAACAGGGCTGCAACAACAAAAGAGAAAAAAAAATGCATTAGTTCTTTTTATTTAAAGAATTCTACTAATATTTTCCACAAAAAAATTAAAAGCATGAGTTATTGATCAAGATAAATCCTATTTTTAGCATTTTTATTTCCACACATTTTTTTTTACCAAGAAATCATCTTTTTTTTTCTTACTGTGTTTACTCATAGTTCAAAATGTGGCATTTTACAAAGACTGCATTTTTGCCTCAGTATATATAGTAAAATGGATTTCTTTTAGGAAGAATTATAGAAAGCAAGACAAAAAATTCTCTTCTTTGTGCTTATACTAAAACTAGATGAACCCATACCAGTTTTGAAGGAGACATCATCTGCTAGCTCTCACTTTTTTACCATTAGAAAAAAAATGAATGGACTTCAGTTTCATCAGAGTGAACGTGACACCTCCAGTACAGCACGAACTGAGTGTCTTATGTCTAATATGCTTAATATAAGGTCATGGTCTCACCATATGCTACTTTAGTCCTTCAGTGAGTAGTGTTTTAAATAATCTTACAGATTTAAAATTCAGTGCAGTGTAGAAAGAGGATTGGAGAAAAAGAATAAAATCAACAAAATAATCTCAACCAAACTCAAAATCCAAAGCCCAGAACCTATCAGATTTCTGAATGAACCTGATCAGGCAAAGGTTCCTGATCCTCTTTAACAGTAGGTGACAGCCAACGGGGATGTCCATACCAGAAAGAAGTGCAAAACTGAATGTAGTTCTTACAGACACTTCATGAAGAGGAGATGGCATTGAGAGTGCTGGGAAGTAACAGGTAAGAGCTTCAAAAAAAAACCAGTGGTGGGTTACAACATTCTGGGCTGCAGATGATAGTAGGCAGTAGTGCCAGTGATTTCCTCAGTGCCATAATTAAAGTTAACAGCACCTCAAAAACACAGACACTCCAGCAAGATCCATCAGGAATTATTTATGAAGAAGGATTTTTCCTTTTATGATAAACACAACTCTTGTTCTGGTCATGCAGCCTGGTTACCCTGAGGAAAAGGTCCAGTGACCTGACAGATGGGAATTCCTCATTCTCATGTAACCCTGTCTGCTCCTATACCTAGAGAGGGCAAATCATTTCACATGGATGCTGCAGCGAAATCTAATGGGTCCTTACTCTGAGAGCAGATAAATTATTCTCACTAGAACATAGTGGTATATAATACCATGCTGGAGTTGAAAATAACCCATAAAATGATTACCAAAATTTACACTTATCCAAGTAAAAATGTATCTGTTGTAGTCTAACCAATCTCTCCTAATCTCACAGTCGTCTCACTTTGGCTAACTAACATTTAATGTCACTTTTAGCAGATACAATGTCCAAATCATTAAAAATTATATTAAGTAACACTGGCTCCAATGTGAACCTTCAGAGCATTCTGCTGTTAACCTCTTTACACTCTTAGGAGAAGACTGTAGTTTTTTGCCATCATTTATTCAATTTTTAATCCACTGTGAGATTTTGCCACTTTCATCATAGTTAAAATTTACCCTCAATAGTCTTTTATGAAGGACTGTATCAGGAATTTTTTGAAAATCCAAATAAATTATGTTCACCAGGTCACCTTTATCTACTATTTTATTAACTTTTTCAAAGCACTTTAGCAGGTTAGAGAAGCATGCTTTCCCTTTACTGACGTTGTGCAGGTTTGACACTATTAGGTTATACTTATCCATGAGCTGAACTACTCTATCCTTAATTAGACTCTCAATCACTTTCCCCAGAAGCAAGGTGAAGTTCACTGGTCTTAATTCCCAGGATCTCTTTCTGGTCCTGTTTTAACAACAGACACCATATCAGAAATTTTTCAACCATCACTGGTCTATATCACATCTTCTTGCAAGTGTCTCCTCTATTTCATAATTTATTCTGGTGAATGCTACCTACTTTTAATTATTTTCCATTTTTACATGAGTTTTTCAAGTCATTCAGCACTTTCCTGTACAATTTTTGCTAGTGCTGCTCTGCATTTTACTTTTTTAACAGAATAACTCTCAGCTGCCATCTATAAGAACAAGGTGAGAGTCTGTTTAACTACTGAATTCTTTTGCCATGGTGAGTAGGTAACCATGGCTTTAATTTGATATTTTTGTTCCTTTTAATTATTTTGCCCTTTCAAGTCCTCAGATGAGCAACTATTCACTTCATTCTTCAAAGTTATAAAATTTATTCTGTGGCTTTTTGGGCTTTTTTAGTTTTATTTTTGTGGGTAGACATGGATCATCAAGCTCAACAGGTTATTTTCTAGCCTCACTTTGAGCACTGTTCTTGGACAAAGATTGGAAAGGAAGGATCAAATCCTAACACCACCATACATAAACTGGTCAGACTCACCAGCAGTATTTAATATCAGGAGTTATTAAAACTGGCTTTCACATGAATCTGACAAATGACAGAAAGAAAGAGGTTGTGCTTATGTGAAAAGATAGAGATTTGTATTCTGGGCTTGTAGAAGATGTTCTCAGTCTATGCTTTAGGTACACAGGTCTTAATGATCAGGAAATATTGTTGAACACGATTTTTAGTGAAAAAGCATTGAAAATTCCCAGTGAAATGTGTACATGGCTAAGTAAAGGTCAGTAAGCTATTGAGTAAACCTGAAATGCTCACATTAGAGGATTAGAAACTCAGAATTTTCAGCATTCAGTGAGGTTGGTGGACTTTCCTCTGGAATTCAAGACTTACTGTGCTTAACAGTCAGGTCTGATTTTGAATGGATGAGAAAATGGAAAAGGAACTTCAGCTGAAAATTCTACATTTGGTTATGAGCCATATAAAGCCACCAAGTATGAAAGCCTAGATTTCAAACTATGCCTTGCTTCTACAACAAAACCCACACTACTTTAGCTTCACCTTGTTTGAATTTCATTACAAAAATATCACATTGATCTAACTGTAAGTATTAAGGTAGATTACTGTTGGCTTTGTTTTCCCTTCAGATAGAAGTTCCAGTTTCATCTGTGTTCAGAGATTCTATATGCTGCACTATTAAACACAGATTTCTGCTTAAATTATATTTCTATCAGCTTTAACATGTTAAAATAGAACACATTTTAATGCATATGTTGAACATTAAATCTTTTTTGCTTCAGGGAAACTCTGGTAAACAGTAACTGTCAAAAATTGTAATGACACAAAATTATAATAATAGAAAATATTCTGTAACAACAGCTTTTCTAATCAAGTCAACAGAAGTTCAGCTCTTCATCCTCTAACTATTCCTTTACAAAAAGCAGAAAGGTCGAGGAAGGAAAGCTCAGGTACACAAATATACACTGTTGAGCACAAAGAGTTGGAATTATTGTTATCACTCTTTGCTTGCTTACTGTGAAGTGCACTCAATCAATGTAAGAAAAATGCAACCAGTTTAATATATGAATATTTTTATTGTTATGACAATTGCCCTTTCATTCAGGAGTTTTAATATATA